TCGTTTCCCAGCGACCCCCCATATGCCCCGCCCCGCCCCGCCGTGTTTGCTATTACGGCTGGGAAGTCAACTATGCAGCAGTTACAAAAAAAACAACGGGGAAAAGAGGAAGAAGAAGAAAATACCTGGCCGCGCACGTTCAAACAGATCAAAAAAGGCGAAAAAAAAGGATGGGCGCTAAATAAATTAACTGCCAATATGGGGTTGGCGAGAACAAGAAGTGGAAGGAGGGGGGGGGGGAGAAGCAGTGGTCGACCCGCGGCGAGATCACCTGGCCGAACTGGAATCGCGCGGTGGACCCCGCGAAGCACCGCCAAGCCGCCACAATAGACAATGGGGACCGCGACGATTACCGTGACAACAATCACCGTGCGCCGGCCTGGAGGGCCTGGAGCTCAGGCCTAGAGCTCAGGCCTGGAGACTGATTCCGAGAGTCGTTTTCGTCGCCCTGCCTCTCTCGCACTCGTGGAGTATCCCCCTGTAGGTGCGAGAGAGACAGAGCGACGAAAGCGACCCTCGGAAGCAGCCTGCTGGAGTGCTGGAGGGCTGCAGGGCTGGAGCCAAGGGCTGGGGCACGCGCATCGCTCGGCTTCGCTTCGAACAGGTGCCCAGGGATCGTGGAGGGCCCGGGGCATCGCACCTCGCAGGGCCTCGCAGGGTCAGGAAGCGGCTCGCCTCCATAACAGCTTCCCTCTCATTACCACACCCAAGTTTCACTCTTCTTCTCTCACACTCATTACGTCCGCTCCCCCACACGGTCCCCCCCTCCCCTCCCCCTCGCCTTGCTCTCTCTCCTCGCGGCTCTTGTGTTTTAAGCCCCCCACTGGGCAGCGCAGCACCCACCCACCCGCACCTCGCGGCTCCGCGGCCTCGCCGCGCCTCGCGTGCAGCGGGCCCGGCACTCCTGCACCCGCATTGTGTGCAAAGAAAGTCGTTCGTTTTTCATCATTGCATCAAAACATGTCAATCATTAACTTTCTCCCTTGCTAATTTTTATTCCCGTTTCTTCTTTACACGCGTCCCGTCCGCCTCTTCCCCTTGTTGTGGACGCGGGGCGGGGCGGGGCATGTCGAGGGCGGGAGTCACGCAAAAGTAGACAAAAATGGGCGAGACTCCACAATGTGCCAGTTTTTCTGGTTCGCCATCGACGTGTTGGGGCCAAAAGCAAGCAAACGAGCGGGCCGGGCCTCGAACGGCGCAGTCAGTCCGCGGCAGTGCGGGCACTGGCGGGGCACTGGCGGGGCACAAGCGGAGCGAACCGCAAGACCACACCGAAGCCGACCCTTCCCGCCGCAATGATTGGATCAGAGTTCAGCGACCCAAAATAACGAAAATGACAAACCACTCCGTCACTCCGCCACTCGCCGGCGACGCCGCCAGTCCGCCGAGTCTCCGATCGCGGCGACGAGATCGCGCCCAAATAATCCCGGCGGGTTCATTCCGAACAACGCTCTGTCTCTCTCGCACTCATGGGTCGGCCCGTAGAGGTGTGAGAGAGACAGAGCAACGCGCTGCTCGGAGTCAGACCACAGGCCGCGGCGCCGGGGTCCCCCGCCTGGGTGTTCCAGTCAAGTTGCCGCCGACGTCCGCGACGTCCTCCTCCTGCATTGCCCAGCGCGGCGGAGTGCACGGCCGCGTCGCCATCCTCGACGACAGCCTCGGCGTCAACGCGTCGACGAATTATGGATGGCCGCCGAGAGGGCGCCGTCATCGACGCCGGCGTGGGGCAGCAGCAGCAGCTGGACCCGCCGCGCCGCGCCACAACGGGACCTGCAGACAACCAGCGCAGCTCTCCTTCCGCCACGCCGCGCCACGCCACGCGCGGCTCAGTTTTCTCCAGGCGCGACCGCCCCGCCCCGCCACGCAACGCTGCAAAGCCAGTCTCCTTAGAGTGTGCTCGCTCGGCGCGGCGCCCGGCCAGGCCAAGGGGCCGGAGGTATCGACGCCCGTCGCGCCCAAATTCACTTTCCGTCGGCGAGGTGCAGAACCCCAAACCGGCGAGACGGCGCGATTCGGGGCACTTATAGTGCAATAAGACTGGAGTTCAGAGCCCCGTTTCACCACCCATTCCACTGATCGCGTCGCGAGTGCGAGAGAGACGGAGCGGCTGCAACAGACACCTGCCGCGGATGACAGTCAGCCCCGCACGCCAGGTGACGCTGACGCGCTGCCGCGCTGCCTCGGCGCAGTGACGAGGCTGCCACCACTTCCCTGTCCACCTCCGCGGCCTCCGCGTCAAGCGCCGCGCGCCGTCAGGCTGCCCGTCAGGCCGTCAGCACACTGTGGCCTCTGTCTCTCTCGCACATGCACGCAGCGCCCCGCGAGTGCGAGAGAGACGGCCCCCGGCAGGTAGGCAGCGCGCAGACACGCGCGTCGGCAGGCTGCCTACCGCGCAGGCTGACTGTTGGCGGGGCGGCAGGGCACGGTGCCCGGGCAACCCCCTTCACCACCCGGCCGCCACCACCACCGCCACCCCGGCCGGCCGGCGAGATGACTCAGAGGCTGACTCACACAACCTTTATTTGACCGTCCGGGCGGCCGGGGCCGGGGCCTTGCCACCCTTCCCTGCGACCTCGCACCACCTCGCACCTCGCACCCTCCGCGCGGACCGGAAGGCCCTCGCTCCGACGCCGCAATCAAGTGCACCACCACCACGACGACGCGGAGTGTGAGTCAGGCGGCCGCCCGGCCGACGCCCAGCCGATAAACTCACTTCCCGACGCTCCCCGCGTCGGCGTCCTGGACACGGGGTGGAGCCCGATGGAGCCGGGCTGGGCTGGGCTGGGTGGAGCCGTGGCAGGGCCCACCAGGGCGCGCCGGTGCGTGAGTCAGCCCGCCACGCGAACCAGTTGCCGATTCCCCGCCCCCTGCAGAGAGCCCCTCTGTCTCTCTCACCCTCAAGGGGCGAAGCGAGGCAGGTTGACGCACTTTCGGCCGGTCACGCCGCCAGTGGCACCACGCAACGGGGAGGCGCCCAGATGCGCCGCCCGGCCGGCCGGCTCGGCGGCTAGGCCGGGTCTATTTTCATCTATTTACAGTGGGCCGGCCAGCCAGACGACGAAGGCGACTCGCAGCGACGCGCAGACGACGCGCTGCACCGGCAAAACGCGCTCGGGGCGCCGCGGCCGCCCCCGCCAGGTCGCCGTCGTCATCCTCCAGGTGGCCGTCGACGGCCGGCCAGCAGGTCGCGTCCCTGGTCCCCAGCCAGGGCGGTCCGGAGGGCGGCGAGGCCGGCCGCGCACGCCATCGCTAGACTAGACGCGCTGCAGCGCGTTGCATCGCCAGACGGACGCTCTAAAAATACCCAAATCGGGCGGCGCGGCAACATGTGCCCCGTGTCATTGCCTCTCTCTTTCCAACGGAATTCCTCGGCCGCCCTCCAGTCTTCCTTCCTCCTCCCGCTCGCAAGCGAACGCACAGCGAACGCGCAGCCAATATTTACTCGCGAGGCGCCCCGCCCCGCCCCGCCCCAACAGCCATGCACTTGGTTTGGAGAGATAACACCTCGAGCCGCAGGCAGGCAGGCCTCGGCTGCCTCGGCCCCGGCAGACTGATTCCGAGAGCCGTTTTCGTCGCTCTGTCTCTCTCGCACTCGCGGGGCGTCCCGTATAGGTGCGAGAGAGACGCAGCGACGACGACGCCTCTCGGAATGAGTGTGCAGGGCCGGCAGGGCCGGGAGGGGCCGGAATGCAGCACGAGCAGGCCCTTCTTCTTTGCATAGTCGCGGTCGCCTCGCCGCCTATCGCCCGCAATCTCGAGATAAGGCCCGGCGGGACAAAACACGCCAAACTGCGGCCAATCCGAATCGCATTGGAAATCGACCACTTTCAGCAGCCTCCGGTCCAGCAGTGTCCACGCACGGTGGCGGCGCCTGCATCTGCGGCCGCCCTGGCATCCCCTCGCCGCCAACGCGCCGAACGGAACGGGCTGCGGATCCCTTTGGGGCGCCCACCATGGGGCGGAGATTACGAGTGTAGTGTCGGGTCGTATCGTATCTCGCCGATTAGCGCCCTTCTCCCTCTGTGTCGCCGATGCGACGCTGCTGCTGGTGCTACGCGTTGCGGCCGCGACGACGCCCCGAGAGAGAAAGCGACGCGCCGGGGACGGCCATGCCCGGCCGGTCCAGCCCGTGCCACCGGCAGATGCATCGGCAGATGCACCGCATCCATCCAATGCACCGCAAGATTGGCCGCCGGCAGATGCACCGCACTGCACCGCACTGCACCGGCGGGGCGGGGAAGCCATTCGCTTCACTTTGATCCCATCAAGGGAACCACGGCACGGCATCGACCAGCAAGCCTGAGCCGCGCCAGATCATGTTTGCCCACGGCTTTTGGCTGGGCTTTCCTTCATGTTCATGCTCAAGCCCAAGCCCGAGCCCGCACCCATCGTGGACTTCCCCCGCCCCGCCCCGCCCCACCGGCCCACCTCTTTTCGGCTCACTTTTGACTGTGGCACTCCCCTCTCCTTCCCTTCCCTTCCCCTGGGCGGTTCGCATGACAGAGACCTGGAGGACCAACTTGGTGTTGCAGCTAGCCCCCTCGCACACACACAAAATTAAAAAAAAAAAAAAAACTGATTGTAAGTGCAAGCAGTAACAATTCATCACCTTTAACCCTTTGAACCAGCTCCTCTTTTAATTTTGAAAATATGACAAAAAAAGGAAAAAAAAAACAAAAAGAAACTTTGTAATGTTGTACAATAGCCATAGTAGTAAAATTGCAGAGTAAAAAAAAAAAAAGATAAACGGTCTCCATAAAAGTCAGACTCAACTGATTAAGGGATGTGTACTTGGATGACGGATTTTTATTTCAAAGATGGTTGTGTATCTTTGGAAAGTATTATTCGAACCACCTACACTTAATATAAGACTGGCAATTATTTCAACAAATGAAAGACACATAGAACCAAATGTTTCATGGAGAGTCAATAGATAAAGTGACAAATGTTTACTTCTTTCAATTGATATATATCATAAAAATGAAGGTGATTAAACCTACCTTGAAAACTTCAGAAAAGAATCCTGATCCTATTTTCTCTCTTGTGAAGTCATCAAGACGATTTAGGGCTGCAACTGCATGTCGCAGCGCTTGACATGAGGAGCCCGTGACACGTGATAACTTGAGTGTAGGTACGCCCGGGCCCAGCCTGGTATCCAGAGAGGCCGAGCTTGATGAGGGCACCACAATCCTTTCAGGAGATAGGTTCATGATAGCTGTTCCACCACTATCACTTAATTTTTTACTAAAACCATTGTCACTCCGATGACCACTTGACGCTTGAATCATTTTGAAGACCACTTTACTATAACATCACTCATTTAAAGTTCTTTCACAGAAGAGGGGTCGTTGGAGTAGGTGAAAAGCCATCATTACTGACAGGCTGAATATTTATAGGGAAATGGTAGAGCTTGTAAAAGGGGGCTGAGCACAGAATGGGCCTCTGGATCAATGTTTACACAAATCATCAGACCAGCAACAAGATCCATGGCCTCAATCGGGGTTGTTCCATGGACGATGAGAGTTGTCTTAATGCGTCTGCGGCCACAAACACCGTATGCACTTTCTTCAGAAACTGACAAGAAGATCCAGGACTGCAATGTTTTGAAAGTAGGCGGAAGCTCTTCTGTCAAATCCACAAATTAAACCGTCGGAATGGGGTATTGAGGTCGTTATTCCGAGACGGCACGCGCACGATCATCGAAAGCACAGCTTCGAAAAACGGACTTGAAGCAAAACTTCACTTAATTTGCAAACGTCCACTGCGAGTGACAGTTTTTAACACAGACATCAACAGAGATCCTCGCGGCTCGGTCGCCATGTTCTCACTGCAACGACATCTTCAAGAAGAGTTTCGACTGAATGAAAACTGGCCTGCGCTTGTTCCTCTTCCCCGTTTGCACCAGAGATACCCCACGACTGGCAGAGCCAGCGTGGCCAGCGTCTCGCGGCGACCAGCAGCAGCAGCAGCGCCCGCGGCGGCGGACTGTGGTACTACTCCAGGCGAGGCGCGGTAGTTTGAATCCTGACGGGTGATCAGCGGATGCATGTTTCCATGCTACTCTTTTCGGATTTCGTTGTGGCTGTCTGGCTATCGGCCGGTAAACCAGGTAATTAGTGACGTGAGTGTTTCAATAGGTTCGTTAAAAAAACAAAACAACAACAACAACAAAGAAACTTAAAATTCTTATTCTTGAAATTAGCTTAATGTAACTACTCTATTTACATAATTATTTCTATTGCGGTGGAACATTAGTTTTTTACAGCTGCCTTTTTTGCCTTTTTGACGAGTCTGATATATTTCGACGCTTGATACGTGTCCTCTTCTTCTTTGGCATAAACAACCTTCTTTTTCGGGTTCCTTTTGGCTAATCTAATTTTTAATTCTTCAGGTGTCAAAGTTGAAACATCAAGCGGCAGCTGTTTTCAAAAAATATATAAAAAGTTCAATTAATATCCTAAACCGACATGAATAGATTTAATTGTCAAAGTTGGATTACTTACTTGTATAATAGAGCGAGGCTCTTGGTAACGAATGTAAAATGATGACCCATCCGCTTGGACTACAAGAGTTGGATATGTTCTTAAAAATGACTCTCTATGGATTTTGGTTACAAGGGCTAGGTTATTTGACAAACCCCTGGCGCACAGCTTATTGAGCGAGGATAAAGGAGACGACAGTATGCACTTGGCTGCTGCCCATTGATGACCTGCTCTCATCCTGAAAATAATGGAACATTAATGTATGAAAATGTCAAAAAAGCAGTCAAAATTGTTCTGATTTACTAGATTTAATGACGAAATCAACTAAACAATAGTCCCTTTACATAGATTCTCACCTGATCAATAGGTTAGAAGAAATCATTTTACTGTATAAATATAATTTGAGAATAGAACACAATGAAGCAATGCTCTTGAATGTTTCCTTTTCGAAAATGGATGAAGTCTGAGGCGACGATACTTCTTCAAATTCGCAATTATGCTCCAAACATTAAAAACACTTTATTGCAACACAGACGGCCTGCATTTGCAGCCGAACCAAACGGAAAGAACAGTATGAGAAATTTTTAAGAAGTGAAAGGCAGCACTCACTTGTATGAGACATTGCTACTTACTTCATTGCCGCTTTTTACCTGCTTTTTCCGAACGACAGAAGTTGGTTCTCGGTGGTTTTAAGGGGATATGGATGAATTCAAGGCAGAACAAGGATACTTTTTCAGATAGATTTATTGATATGTCAAAAGAGGAAACAGATAAATCTTTCTTCAAAAATATATCACAGAGTGTTAGTTTTCAAACAAAATGTAAATGGCAGTAATGGGGAATGACCATGGTGAATGGATCAGCCCCTCACCCCCTCCATCTAACATAAGTGCCAGTACCACAGAGCTAACGGTAGCTGGAGCCCTAAATGCATGTAGGGCTCTAAAGGTAGCTAAGCTTGGAGCATGTTGTCCTTTGCACATTGAAAACAAACAGTGAGTTTCCATTCCATCTTATTGTTGATAAAAGCTGTATCAAGTAAAGATAATTCACACTTTACACATTGGAAAGGCAGGCTATTGCCCTCCCCACCCCCTGCCACAGCCTGGCACTATCTGTAAAGTGTGAATTTTCTTAAAAGGACCACCCGATAATACAAATCAGCTCTCAATTCTCACTGGAATGAATACAATAATAATAATAATAATAAGAGGTAAAAAAATTGGCTGTAAAGAAAATTTTTAATACAAAACCAAGGAAAATCCAAAAAGAATACATATTACATATATACATTACATTAGTGTATGCAGATGGAGCACACAGGAATCAAGTAACAATCATCTCTTATCATGCTGTTGACATGTTGTACAAATGCATACTTCATGACATGCAAATAAGAACTATGAGGTAAAAGAAGAAAAAAAAGTGACATCACAATTTTGGTAATTGGAATTCCCACAATATGTCTCAGTACATAGAATTAATAAAAAGGGATGTGAGTTATAACTTATTTCCTTTATTAATGCCTGCTTCCTCAAGGTAGTTGTGGAGGTGCTTCCATGCACGAATAACTTGGCGCTGAGTGAAGTCATAGGTCCACAATGTTGATAAAATGGTAGTGGCACCCTTGATCTGCTCGGAATTGCTTGGTTGGGCAGCGATGCGAGAGCGGGCCGCGTCTTCCGGCAAGTTGTTGCGCCGTTTCAGCCTCCTCACAGCCTAAACACATATTTGCATAAAATTTCAGGACTACAACTTCCAGGAATTATTTTCCTTCATAGGTGATGATGAGAGGAGACTAGGCAAATTATTTACCTCATCTGGAGGAATCATGCAGACCCAATATTCGTGACAGTACTGCTCCCAACCTGCTTGTAGTAGAACAGCAGCTTCTACGACAATTATGTTTTTCCCAGATGCATGGAGTTTGGCAATTTCATGTTGGGTTCTTTCCCAAAGTGCTGGCCACACCATGTTGTTTAATGCAGTAAGTTTGGCCTGTAAGTTATTTTCAATAATTAAAAGTGAGATAAAAAATTAAAAATTTATAGAACAACAAAAAATCATTTCATTATACCTTGTCGTTAAACACAAGAAGACCAAGTGCTTTTCTGTTTATTTCACCATCAGCATCCAGGATGTCCTTTCCAAAGAATTCCACCATTTTGTCTTTGATAGGTTGGCCCTGTTCATACAAAGTGTGGGCAAGTGAGTCACAATCTATGAGACCTGCACCCATTTCTTCCAGCCGTCGTCCAATAGAAGACTTCCCACTGGCAATGCCTCCAGTTAGTCCAATGATATACGGTGATGGAGGCAAATTGGGTCTTGCCTGGAAAAAGATAAACAAAGAATGCTCTCAAGACAAAATTCAAATTTCTGGAAACATTCATCAAATTTCATGCCTTACCTCTGGTTTTTTTAGTCTTGTTCCAAGTACTCTGAGTCTTAGATTGCCAGAGCTCACCTTATCTTCTTCCTCTTGCTCTTGTTTGATTTGGGTTACCAGGAGATCCACAGAGTGTACAACCAGTGGTTTGAGAGACTTTGCTTCACGAGCCTCATTTACTTTCAGACCTCCCGCCTTTGTCTCTTCGCTCACAACAATCATCTAAAACATACACATGGTCCGGCTTGGGCATCATCCAGAGCAAAGAGACAAAGTGACAGAGTGGCTTCCAGTACATGGCACGTACCTCGAAAGAAGGCTCACGTATAGTAGGGCCAAATGGATCGCTGATGGGCACCACATCATATTCGATATTTGGATCTAAATCTTGTAGAACTTCAAGAACATCAGCTATTCGATCCTCGCATGATGCAATCAGCTCTGTTAAGCATTTTGCTGAGATAAAAGGGAACCAGGTTAGACACATGCATAGGAGGAGTAATCCAGTGCTTATTAAAATGTAGGGGAGCGAGTGCTTACTTTTCAGCATTGACTCATCGGTAACTCCAACAGTAAGTTTACGCCTGCATCGAAGAACTGCTTCACTGAGCAGAATTTTATGTCCAGCATGAAGCCTGTCAAAGGTGCCTCCAAGGACAACGTTGTCATACATTGCCTCATTGGCATCAGTGTCCACAGGTGGCGTTTCACTACTCTCATTATCTAAGGAAACTACGGCACACCCAGCAGATACATTTGCGAGACATTTCTTAAGAAACGCATTCATCTCATCATTACTAAGAACTTGGTCAAAAAACACAACGTCAATGGATTTCTTGGTGCGAATGATGGTTTGCGTTGGATCCTTCAAGTACGCTAGGAGAATAGCGACGTCGAGATTGTGCCCCAGCGTCTGTGAGTACATCCCAATGACAGCGCGGCTGTACACAGCAGGGCTGGGTGCAGCCACTGGCGGCGACGGCGGTGTCAGCAAGCGGGACAGCCGAGTGGGCAGGTACTGAATGTACAGCTTGTTGAGCAGGTATTTCTGCACGTCGGGCAGCACACGGCCCACTCGTGACGGGTTGGTGACAACCAGGAGCCCAGTCTTGGCCATGCTGCAACGGACCACTTTGGCAGCCAGCTTGGAGCCGAGGAGTCGACGACAAGGCTTGCGGCCTTGCCGGAGTCAGTGTTCGGCCTAGCAGAAGGAAGGGATAAACATAACCTGCGGACGGCGCTGCAACCGAAACAAACTTACAGTCCCCTGAGGCGCGACAGGACTCGACACTTGTACCAGCACACGGTCGGGGCATTTACCTGCACCGTGGCTGTCGGCAAACGGGTCTGCAGGCGTAAGGAGGTCGTTGTGAGGGCTTATTTACCGGATCCTTCACATCTCGCGATGAGAGGGCAATGTACATCGCACGTCACCCCACCCACGGCACACACACACACAGCGCACACGCACGCGCGTCAAACGCACACACACACGCACACACTTCAATGCGAGATATGAAAAATTTCACACTCAGCAAAAACATGCCCCAAAGAGAAATATAATAGGACTTAATTCAAATGAAAAAAAAGAACTGACAAATAGCTATTTTGACTTCATAGCAAAGTGAAAAATAAGTTCCATTTTTGAGGAAGGAGAATCGGTAGCAGCTGTCGGGTTTTGTGGCCAAGTTAAGTCTAGCCTTAGAGCAGGGGTTCCCTTAGAGCAGGGGTTCCCTTCTGAATTGCAATAGCAATAAAATGTCCGAGCTGCTGTGGTGTGTAGAACGCCCCTAACCTAGAAAGTTCTCCAGTGTTTACAGTACTGCATTGGAGGAAACTGATACATTTTGACATGGAAGCACACTAGATTGTTCCCGTAAGGCTTCTAAAAGGTTTAATAATGCTGAATCGACCGCGTGAAGAAAGTGTCAATTGTATTTATTGTCAGAAAAGAAAGCCGAATTGTTACTGACTAGGGGAAACATTATAAGTACACACTAGCATTAGCTAATTTTGTTGATGTACATTGTATACGTAGCATAGGCTATGTCTCAGAACGTAGTGAGGAACTTTTATAAATCAGCGAGGTATGTCACCTGGTCGTCAGGCCTGAGATGGAAAAGCTCCAACCCCCGGAGTGTGCTGAAGCTGGCAGATAGGGGCATGTTCAAAGATATTTTCCCTGGCAACTCCAGGTAGGGCTTTGGTATTTTCCCCTTCCAACTATCTTTGGGTTATTAGCGTCTCGAGTTTTTCTCATGACATACTATATGATTACAGCACAGAGGTTGACACTCTTCTAAAGTCATCAAGCCAATGTGTTTATGCTGGCTTCGATCCTACAGCAGATAGTCTGCATGTTGGCAATCTCCTTGTACTTGTCAATCTTCTTCACTGGCAGAAACGTGGTCATCAGGTTGTTGCTTTGGTTAGTAACTTAGTGCCCCTAAGTTTCCTTTCAGCGTTCAATGCAAGCACAACGCAATAATTCTTTTTTTCTTGTAAATTTGCAACAAACAAACTCAAAAATAGATTGGAGGTGCTACGGGGCACATTGGAGATCCAAGTGAAAGGAGTACTGAACGCCCATCACTTTCATCAGAATTAGTCTTTAAGAATGCTGATAGCATTAAAGAAAACATAGAAAATGTTTTTGAAAATTTTAGGAAGCACTTTTCTGATGGGTGTGAACTTCATCCTCCAAAGTATGTCTTTGATTTTATATTTTTTGAAAGTATGATGGGTTTTTGCATTACAAATGCTATACTAAAAGCTGTACTCAAATTTTACAGGATAGTGAACAATTATGATTGGTACTGTAAAATGAATTCTGTGGAGTTTGTTGGATATGTTGGACGCCATTTTCGTATGGGAACAATGTTGGGCCGAGACAGTGTTTCCCAAAGGCTTAAATCTGAACGTGGCATGAGCTTTACTGAATTTACTTACCAAATTTTTCAAGCTTATGATTGGTTACATCTGTATCGTGCACATAATTGTAGATTTCAGGTAAGTTTGAGGTGATTTCCTCCTTTTATGGTTTCTGTTCAATTAAACTATGATTTGTAACACAGATTACTATTTTTAGATTGGTGGTAGTGACCAAATGGGTAACATTGTGTCAGGACATGACCTGATCAGTCGTGTTGAAGATGTACCCGTGTATGGTAAGTGCTCTTGATGCGCCCCTCATGTTTAGGTACTTCATTTAGTTACAGGTGTTGATGTATTTCTGTGTTCCCTATAATCTTTCTGTTATCAGGCATTACTCTTCCCCTAATAAAATCGGAAGCCGGGGACAAATTTGGAAAATCAGCCGGCAATGCAGTGTGGCTTTCTTCAGTAAAAACATCCCCTTATGACTTATACCAATTTTTTGTGCGAACACCAGATGCTGATGTGGAACAGTTATTGAAGCTTTTTACTTTCAATACATTACGAGAGATAAAGGAGATAATGGACAAGCACAAGGTTAGTAGAATCTTTTATTCTATAAGTCAATTTAGTTTAAGAACAGTTCATTGTCATTGCAATTTATTAAAATATATAAACCTTGTGTTGTTTGACTGCTCTATTACATTTGTCCTAACAAATCTTATATTGTTTTAGCAAGAACCATCAAAATGGATAGCACAAAAAGTTTTAGCTCAAGATGTCACTACCCTTGTACATGGAGGTATGTTATCAATGTGACATATGACAATGATCTGCTATGTGCACATGCAAATTTTACTGGATACTTTTTTTTTCTCTCTTGAAGAGGAAGGTTTAAAAATGGCTCAGTTAACATCAACTTTATTGCATGGCTCAGATCCAAACAAATTAGCTGAGCTTACCTCAGAGCAAGCCTTGCAGGTTTTTCGTGGAGCACCTTTGAAAAAAATGATTTTACAACCTGGTATGACTTTTGTGGATGTAAGCACAGCAGCTGGATGCTTTCCGACTGAGAGTAAGTTAAGCAGACTTTCACCTCTGCAGAGTTCAATATTATTTCTCTTGATATAAATGAGAATTTTTTGTGTAGGTGATGCAAGAAGAATAATTTCTGCTGGAGGTTTCACTGTGAATTATCAAAAATCACGTAATCCTGATGAAGTCTTTCAAGTTTCACACATCCTACCTAGTAATTTTTCACTCCTGCGAGTGGGTAAGCAATTTCTTTAAATTTAATCCCTCAATTCCTTGCTATAAGAATTTCTTTCCTTAAGTGTTGCTTTTTTTTTTTTCAGGAAAGAAGAACTTTTACCTAGTTGAATGGGTTTGACATAATTATCTTTGTGGAGACATGTGGCTCACTTTGGAAAACTTACAAAAATCTATATTTATCTGTTAGTATGTGATCAAGTGTAAATGAAGTGTAAATCACATGGATGTTCGCTTACATACTCCATAAAGTATACAGATAGAACTCTAGAGGTGCCTTTACTTGTCATACACCTATCCCAAATGTCCCAATGTCCATCATGCCAGTAAAAATTTTAATGAATTTTTGATTTACTGGCCATTTGATGATTGCAGTGTGTTATTCAAACGAAGAATCTGCATTTGCAGGGGAGGAAAATGCTGTTGCAAAACTGCTGTTAATTCCAGGAGGTCACTGGACACTGTGCGCTGCTTATACATCTCAGCATCTATAGCTGATTCAGACCGGAACAGTAATCTGTGTTTCCCCTCCTTCACTTTGTTGTACAAACGAACTTTCTTCTGTAGTCGAATTAGCATTTCCAGCTTCTGTAAAAATATATTAAGTGTCTCTTTGTTCCTCAAAGATTTAATTTGGATCAAAACTGCTCCCACCTGTTGTTTTAGTAAATGAGCTTCCTCAACTTTTCTTTTTCCATCTGCAACTGCCTGCTCTTCTCTTTGCAATGCTTTCTCAGTCTCTTCAAGGGACGCATTTAGCTGTGATAACTCTTTGGGGAGCTCATTTTCCAATTGATTAGAAATTTGTTTGGCTTCCTGTGAAAATAGTTAAAACCATTAACTCTCAATACATCAACTTGAGTACTTGCAAAAATTAAGGAAGTATGGAAATTACCATCTTAGCTTGTTTCTTTCTATTCGAAAGATTTTCTAATTTGCGTTCAAAAACTATTCGGTTGCTAACAGCTCCATGGTTTCCAACCGATCTTTTTTCTCTGGCGTCTGCTTCATCTATCAGGGATTCTCTTCTCATAATGCAGTGCTCCAAATCTTTTACAAGGGTTTCCTGTACTTTTCTAAGGTGCGAGAATCTCACCTAAAATTGTGATGGGATTTTATTTGTTGTTTACAAAACAAATTGTACCTTTGAAAATCATGATTTACTTTTGAAGTTTTTCCATTTGTTACTTACATCCATTCTGTGAATTTCAACCCTCATCTGACCGAGTTCCCCATTGGCTTTGTTATCTTCTTCATTCATTTGTTTTGTTTCAGAAGCCAGAATAATTTTCTTTTCCCAAGCCAAACATTCCCGCTTCAAATCTAGAATTTCTTGATTAAGTGATAGGTTACTTTCCTCTAAATTAGTTAGGTCCTCTTCTTGTTCTACATTTTCTCGCTCCAGATCCTTAACATACCCATATATTTGCATGTTTATTGCTTATTTCTAAACTACATTTCACCTTATAACTTCAAGTATCAATACCTTCAAAAGACCTAAAGCTTCTGTTTGGATGACAAGATTTTCTTTGTCGAGGAGTTCCTTGTATCCTCTCTTGTTGTGCAGGCCAACCGTCATTTTATGAAGAGAAATCTCCAGCTCATGTAGTTGGTGTTCAACATCTTTCTTTCCTTTGTTGTGCTTTTCAGTTTCATACTCAATTTTCAGAGACCTCTGAGTTAAAATATGCACCTCTTTAGAAAAATGGTGAAAGGAATGTTAATTTTCAAATTGATTTCACAAAACAAATTCAGTTTCAAAGGTGTATGAACTTACGCTTGTATAGTAAATTGAGCTGTTGCAGCTGTGTTTGTCTCTCCTCAGTAAGTCTCACTATGTGGGACTGGAGCCGCAACCAAAATGCTTGTTTCTTTTCAGCTTCTTGGGTGTTTTCTTCTATTTCAGTTTCTATGGCTTTGATTCGAACCTGCTGAGGGCTTTCCTCTGTCGACTTTTAGATAAGCAAGGAGTTTATTACATTTGTTCAATACAAAAAATTTCATTACATTTCAAACCAAATACTTACCCCAGAACGAGCAAGAATACTATCCAGTTTTTTAGAGAGCTGATCTATTAACTGCATTTTGCTTTCCATTATGTGTGTGTTTCGTTTAACAGTAGCTTCTAGCTGCAATAATTCATTAGCATATTTCTCTGCCTCTAAACTTGCCTCCCTCAATAGGTTTTCATTGTATACAGCAGCACCTCTAGTTTTCTCTATTTCTACCATTGTTTTAGCTATTTGATTCTCCATCATTATAAAAGCCATTTCCTGTTACATGGAAAATTTCTTTGGTTGTAGTGTATAGGCACATGATCATAATAGAATTAATATCAATATTATGAGAAGGGCTTATACCTGCTGTTTGTTGTTGTCTTTAAGACTTTTGATTGAACGAGCCAAGTGTTGAAAAGCCTTGTCATGCTTGCTTTGGTCTTGAAGCTTCTCTAGAATTTGCATTTCTAATGAAATTTTTTTTTGTGTTAGATGCTCCAATTCTCTTTGTTGGTAGAGGCTCTGTTGAGACAAAACCTTGCCATCCTGTGAAGTAACATGTTAAATTTGATCAGTTGCTTCCTGTGACTTTGTGAGAACATTTTCTCCAAAACTTCCTTCTATTTCATCAGTCACAAAAATGGAGGGCAAGCTTTACCATTTGTGTGGAGCGCAAATTATCCTCAGTTTTCTTAACCATTTCAGAAACAGAACTATAGTCATCTTCTATTTCTGAAATCCGTTCCTTGTTTTTGTAGTAACTTTTCACTAGATCATTGTATTCTGTTTCAAGCCGACCAAGAACGCCCATTATTTTTTCATTTTCAATCATTTCAAGCTTAGCTATTCTTTTGTAGCTCTCAATTTCTGAGATCATTAGCTGAAATGCTTCCTTAGCTTTTCTGTATTGAATAAAACACAACTTTAAAACAGGCAGAAATTAAAAAGAGTTTTGAAACTGAATCTCTCGACTTACTTCAAATCTTTTTGAACATTATTGTAAACTCTATCTCTTTGTTGTAAATTAACCACTACTCCATTCCATATTCGAGTCAAGCGAACTTGCTCATTTTGTAGTGCTTCTAGATCTGCTGAGCCTTCAGCTATTGTCCTGCGAAGACTTTCCTGTTGTTGCAACTTGACCTCTCTCTGGGCTTTTAACTGCTCTCGCTTGCTTTCCAAACCAAGCACAGCTTGCCTCAGTTTTAACAGAAGTATGTCCTATTGAAGAAAGAGGAGGCTTGGTAAGTCATTCACTTAATATTGAAATAGTACGTATTGCACATTTCTACTACCTGCTTTTGCTTTTCTTTTGCCATTTCTTCTTTCTGCTGTTCAGTTTTGTCTGCTATTCTTTGTGATACTGACAGTTCTGAGTTGTATTCGGACTCCCATTGCTTTAATTGCCATTCAACACTTTTCAAAATCTCTATCTCAAGACGCATTTTGTCCTCTGAAAATAAGATCAAAAATTATGATGATTTATATTTATTTTTGTGTCAGCTAAAATGGCTTAAATTTTTCAGTAATTTATACCTTGTTTTTGGATGTCTGAAATTTTTTGTGCTTCTGCCTTGTGAACGTTGTTAAGAGTTTTTAACTCCTTTTCTAAGTTAGCACGAGTCTCCTCAAACTCAGCAAGTGATTTTCTGTAAGATGCCAACTGCCTCTGGCTATGAGCAACTTCTTCTTGGAGGTTGAAGAGATTTACTCCCAGATCTTCTCTCTCTTTTGCCTTGGCTTTCAAATTGCTATCCTGTTTGAAATTGAGAGCAAATGAATTATGGTGAAAAATGTAAACAACAGGGAACAGACAAAAGAAATAATTTTACCAATTCAGATACTTCTTGATCAAGTTTACTGAGCCGTTTCTGCAAAAGCTCTTTTAAAGCCTTTTGGAACTTCATCATGAGGGGGTTGTCAGGATCAAGTACATGTGGGTTTCCTCCATTGTCTCCTGATCCCTCCTTTTGAAACTTGTCATGTTCAGGCTCTCGATTCATGTTCTCTAATAATGCTGGTGGAATTGTGTCTTCTCTTCTATCACTGTCATTCACAGGGGCCATTCTGTGACTGAATCCCTCTCCACCTCTTGCAGTGCTTTGAGGATCAAGGCCTGTTCTTCCATCAAAACCATGGTTTTGAGAAGTGGACGGACCATTGTCCACCATGTCTACATTCCTCTCTTTCTGGTCCATATTCTTCAGTTCATCAACAAGTAATCTACTGTCTTCTTGCTCCTCATCTTCTGATTTCCTATCCATTGCTTCTGGCAAATATCAAGAAATCACCTTTCATACCAAAGTAATAAGCTAGTCACCATGGCAACCATGTACACACACAAGAATTCATTTCAACATTTTCGATGCTCTGCACATACATGGTTACTAGAATCCCGTTTGTCTTAAATCAATGTCACGATGGGCATCATTTTGACATCGAAAGATTCATCACTGAATTTTCTGGTTGTTCCTGAAATGAACCATGGAGAACATGATATCTCATTTTATTGAAATAATTTCTTGAAACATCAAACAAAATTTCTAGCATATCTTGAAGATTCCCCATTTTGTCAACAACGACCGATGATATCTTAATGGGATGCGTTCATAGAAATGAATGAATGAATTCCAAATCGCTACCTCTTGGTGAATAAGTGGTGGGAGGCATTCCCTACTTTCATTTTGAATGTTGGCAGCGGTAGGCCAGGAAAAAACTGCATTTTTTTCTTTTAATTACTTTCCGGGACTTTGGAAATACATACTGCCTAACTAATTTCTTGAAAATGCCTCGATATCCTTCGTTTCTGCTTTCTTGAGAGTTATTTCTTTTTTTAACTCGAAATCACTTCTAGAATCCTCAAAACATGTTAGGTTGGCACTAATTCTAACGCGGCTCTAAGATCGATTTATCGAAGTTGCGTGCAGCAGAGGGGAGGGGTGCGAGCTGTCAAAAAGCAAAAACCTGTGACTTCTGTCATTTTGAAGGAAAGAAAGATTGAATGGATTAGCTTTTACGCTGAAGTTTGAGTTTAAAGTAAGTTACTTAAATTTTTTCACTTTCGACACTTCCTAATTTGGTTTAGCTAGTGCAATGATAGACATTGAAAAACTCGATTCTGAACGTGATTTTTTTTCCCAAGAAGCCAAACAGTGGGTTGTTTATCCAATTATTTTATTGTTAGTTAGCTTTCATTTCATGCCCCAACATTCTTAAAGTTCGGAAACACACTTCTTGTGCTCATTCGAATTATAACCTGGCTTTTGTTTGCATATATGACAAGTTACTTTAAAAATTCCATCTATGTTGGTTTCCTGATCATGGAGAAGCGGTAGCATCATTTCTTTAAATCTCATACTGTAATTTTTCTGAAAGCACATACATTTTCTAAAGAACTGCTGTGGCAACTTTTCTGTGCATCTGTCAGTAGTTGTTGTGCGAGTCAAGTGATGATGGCGTTTACTCATTCTAAAACCTCTCCCGCAACCTTTACTACTGAAAATACCACAATTTAAATCACATTGCTGCAATATTTTTTCTTAAATGCAGACTATAAATTGGCATGAAACCAGCTGACCTAATTTTTTCAAACTGTTCCTTTGTATTCTTTTATTCAGATGGCTGCTGTGGACGGTAGTCATGCCTTCAGAACGCCTGAGACATCTCCTTCAGTTGAAGATCAGGCTGAACCGTTCCTCGTCCGAAGAGATACTACTAATGACCACCCTTTGAAGAATGTGGATGATGATGAGTTAGAAACCATAACTAAATATGCAATGATGCCAAAGGGTGTTGCTTTAGCAGCCTTTTCCCGCCCAAGCATCGATCCAAAGCTTAATGATGATCCTAGGTTAGAGGCAAGGAAACGTGAAGATTCTGCCCTTAGCCTGGAAAGTCTAGACCTTGAACTTCCACCACTTGAGGCCTATAAAGTGGAAACAGGTAGCGAATTGATTTTTATCTTGGATGTGTTCATAATATACCCAGCAATCTTTTTAATTTTCTCTATATTTTTGCAGTTACTTTTCCTAAAAGCCCTCAAGAGTTACGGCAAACTCTTGAGGCATCAGGTGTTCCTCTACCTTTGGAATACAGTTCTCCTATGTCAGGTTCAGGTCAGATTGTGTTTCACTCCTTTGGTCTAGATGATGAGTGGTTAAAAAAATCCTTGAATGCTACTGTAAATTTTCTTTGATTGCAGAAATTTCAGTCTGCTATGACAGATCACCAGATGAAGAAGATAGATCAATGTATCAAGCCTATTTATCTGCTGACTGCAACAATGTGAAACTAAAGAAAGGTATATCAATTTAAAGATCCTCGATTTGTCTGAGTAGGGGTTTGTTGTTCGGTCCATGACTCTTAAACATTTTCTTGTAGATCCCCTGTATCAAGGCACTGGGCCTTCCCCTGGCTCAAGCCTCAGTAGACGAAGAAAAATTAAAGTTACAGCTGATGTGCTCAGTTCAATTGCAACAGACACAGATACTGCAACAGATACAACCTTAACAGAACAGATGTATACTGCCCGTGATTCTTCTGGTTCACCTGGTGGAAGTGACACTGAACTTGATGATACCTTCATGCCCGAAATGGACTCTCCTGATGAGTTGGAGGATTCAATTTTGGAATGTAAGAAGAAGGTTTTGATTCACCAATACTGTATATGATAATAAAACTTTGCTTTATGGAAGCTTATGCTATTCTGCTCAGGCCTTGACGATGCTGAAGACAGGACGCCAGAAGCTATACCAGAGCTCACTGCTGCTGAGGAACGTAGTGAAGCAAGGCATTGGAGGACAGTGACTGTAGCAGGCGAAGAGCGGCGCATTGATATGAAAGTTATCGAACCATATAAGAGGGTAGGCTCCAGTTCCATCCACAAGTGATGAGAAGATGGAGTTTGCTTTTCAAACTGAAGTTAATTTTTCTCTTTGCAGGTTCTTTCTCATGGTGGCTATTTATCTGCAGGATGTCACAATGCCATAATTGTGTTCAGTGCATGTTTCCTACCAGATAGAAGCCGAGTGGATTATGATTATGTCATGGATAATTTATTTCTGTAAGCACTACCGGAAATTTTTTTTTGAAACACTGTATTTGAGTCATTATTCTTTCATTAATTAAAGGGACTGGGTCTTATGAAAACATGATTGCAGGTATGTTCTTACTACGCTAGATCAACTGATAACAGAAGATTATGTTTTAATTTTCCTTCATGGTGCCACTCGACGAAGTGTGATTCCAACATTTTCATGGATAAAAAGATGCTACCAACTTATTGACAGAAGGCTTCGGAAAACACTTCAAGGACTGTACATTGTACATCCCACATTTTGGCTCAAAACACTTGTGGTGATGACTAGACCCTTCATAAGGTACAATACAGTATTCAAACCATCTGAGACTTCCTCTCCCACTTACTCCGTACTCATTGCAACCTTTATTTCCAGTTCAAAGTTTAGCAGAAAACTAAGGTTTGTAAACTCACTTGAAGAACTTTATGACCTTCTGCCATTAGAACATGCTAGTATCCCTGATAAAGTGAAAAAGTAAGTTCATAAGTTTATAATGCAATCCAATTATAACAGGTGCATAGTCTTGTAGCCTAAATCATCTGATACATCTTTTCTGTTTCAGGTATGATGAAATCAAACGATCTATGAGGCCAGTGTAGGTAAATGTTAAATTTGTCTTTTCCTCCAGAAGACCAGGCTTTGACAGATTATTTACCGTTTTCCCCTCTACGGGGAAAATATACAGAAAGCTATAGCCAACAGGTTACCCCCTGATGTAGATGATCTTGAATAATTGTGATAAATGTAGCTTAAAGTTCATTCAAATTTGTTATGCCTATGTAGTGGAAATTGAAATTGATTTTCTCTTTGAGACTAATTATTCTAGTCATGTCAACATCCATTCCATTTAAAAGACAAACCTCCAACTAACTCATTCATTTGAAAATAAAAGCTGTCTTTCTCATACACTGCGACCCAAACCTGTTCAGTAGACAGATCAAAAAGACAATGCTAAGACTGTTAATTTATCTGATTTAGGCACTGTGCGTTATGGGCCTGCCTGTAATTTAGTATGTGTCGTGCATTCTGTTTTAGTTTTCTTCTTTTAGTTTGTATGTTAGTCTTTGAGAAATGTTGGATATTTTTATTGAAGCTGTACTTTATTTGCGATTGGTATCTTGAAATGTTTTCAGAGGATAGGTTCCCAGTGTGATTCTATTGGTTGTGCTTCTTTGCTAATTTAATTCTTGAACCTATTCCCATTACATTGTACTGTTTGTTTTTTAGTGGTTCATCAGTGAAATAGGAATCAAAAACTGGAAACAGCCTGTGGGCTGTTAGTTGTTCAAGCTGCTCAGCCATAGTAATAGGATATGATGCACCAAAGTACAAATAAAATTCTAATGTGTACTTAAATATACTATTTTAATTGTTTTTTTTTATATCTATATAAGTGCTAATTCTTAAAAGTTATTGAAGTATGTCTGACTTAACATAAGCCTTATTTTCCATGACGAGCACTGTACAGCTTAACACCATTCAATGTTGAAGCTCTTGCATATTTGGTAAGAAGTGCATTGACATTCATCTTGTTAGTTGTTAGACGCCTGGAGGAAAACAATTTTATTACATGGTGAACTACAGAAATCAATTAACTTTGCAGTGGTAAGGTATCTTACTCGACATAAGGACGTATATCATCAATGGTCCATTTCTCTCTTGTATGAAACAAAATCCTAAATCTTTCTGCTATGTCTTCAGGTAGCTCCCATTCTGGAAAAAATCTTACAACTTGAGGCTGGCATGAGATGTCTTTAATAGCTACTCCCTCCAGGTATTTCATATCAGTCACCATTCCTGGAAAATAAAAATATCAACTCAAAAACAACTTGTTATAGTATATTTTAATTTGAGAAAGATAAGGGGACTACCTTCTGGCACACTTTGTTGCCATGCAGAAAGAAAATCGCGTAAATTGAATTTCCCTGCTGGTCTCAGGAGGACCTCACCAAGATATCTACAGATTCTGTCATCACGTAAAGTACAAGTTAGCCCTGAAACAGTTCAAAAGTAATGGTAAAATAAGATTCACATTCCCAAGTATTATTTGCACTCAATCGAAAAGAAATATTCATACCGTCTGAGTTTTCGGTGCAGTACCAATCAAGTAAATGATCCAGAATTACAGTAGGAACAACATCGCTTAATGTTTCTAGAACTTCACCCCGGACAACACCATTCAAAGGCCAAGAATTTTCATCTACAAGTCCCAGAATTAAAGAGAGTACACGAAAATGATAATTAAATTCCAGGAAACGCCAGTGACCTGTAGGCAAAAACAACAATATACAGAAAAGTTATGCCATATCAGCCAAAGAAATTTTATTTTCTTATATATGCAGTAACAATTCAAAATATTCTTCCTACCATTAATGCAACAGACAAAATTCTCTTTGAGAGCGGTCAAAAGCTCTTCCTCACTGGCTTGAATACAGTGAAGTAGGTCATGAAGTGTGTACAATTTTACTCCACTGTCCTGCACTTCACTTTCATATTCAGGACCACTGTACTGTCCCTTATCCAACAATGATCGTAACTTTTGAAGACGTGGTCCGCAGGGACGCACTTCAAGGTACTCATAAAATATCTTAGCGACCTAGAATAAGCAAATTAAGGAGAATGATTATGATCAATAGTTCTCATAGCTATTCTCACTAAGCTGATCAAAGTTGATTAACTTTCTTACACATTTGTTGCTTAAAGTTCTTTCTTCATGAGATGAGTTGGATTTGGTATCTCCACCCCAAAGGATTTCAGGTACAAGAGCTAGAGCATTTGAAATTTCTGCAACTTTTACATCAAAAGTTCTGTTTTTGGTGCACATAACGGCACTTTCATTTTTGTCGCCTCTGAAGACCAAGCTAAACATAATACAACTAGAATGAGACGCAAATGTTAAGACTCAAACCAAAAGACAAATGTGGTCTGTCATACCTTTCGCCCTGGTTCATCAAATCTAGAAGAGCATTGTCAAGCTCCAGAAGGACTAAATTTTCATCAAGTTCGCTTGGTTCTGGAAAGCTTAGAACTTGGGTGATAGATGTCAAATCTTTTTCCTGGACCTTGGCATTATTTAAGACAGAGAGAACTTCGTCTGAGCTTCTACAGTATCTGTAATAAAGATCAAGGTGGAAGACCACAAGATTATTTATGAAGACATCTACATAGAACATGCAGGTTATAAATGATGGCATGAGGCACAGAAATGCACTCAAAGAAGAGACACGTGTCAACCATCTAAAAGAAAGAGATAAGAGATTGAAACAAAAACGAAAATGCAAGTTTCTATTACAATGTGAAGATAAATCAATTCGAAAATATCCGAAATGAAACACATATCAAATCAACAGTACCTTGCCGCCATAATTCCCGCGCTTGTTAACCAATTATGAAAAATTGCCGAAGACTCCGTCTAGGATGTTTGAGCGGGGGAAGTGTCAAAGGGGAGGGGGGTTCCCACACTCCCACACCTCCTCAACCCTCTCATGTTGAACAACAACAACACAACACTTGTTCCGTGCTCTCCTCTCTCCTGAGAAGTTGAATGCTTGTTCTACTTGTGTTGGAATTAAGTTCCTACCCCCGTCTCTGATCGGCGCACTGTGACCTGGCGATCGGCTGCAGCCTTCGCATCCGACAAACCATTCAGCCGGCCTGAAGGCGTGGAGGAGTTTGGCCGTGCGGCTCAGTCGTTGCCTAAAATAGCGGCCAGGCCAACCGGACCCTTTGTTGTTCTGTGGTGGTTCGTACAATTTTGCTCATGTTTCCATCGTCGGCTCGTCCCTGCTCGTGGCAATCCAGTCCATCTCTAACTGCGTCTTCGTGACTCTGTTTTCTTAGCAGGTCTGTAACTGGGCGAGAACTGTGTGCACCTCCTGTCTCAGTTCCTCCAACATCGTCGCGTGAGGTTACGCACGGCACATCAGTCCGAATTTGGCCTGCGGTTGTTTCCCTCTTACTGCTAAGATGTTGGGCGTTGCGTCGCGGTTTTCAGTGCTCAAGATTGAGGGCGAAGATCAACCCAAAACCCCTGTCAAGAAGAGGGTTGAAAAATCTAAAACCGATGGCAAGAAACCCAACCCCAGCCAGAACAAAGCTGCTGGTGGTCCAGCCAAGAACAACAAAAAGCCAGGAGCTGCTCAAAATGGACAGGTTTGATGACTGAAAACTCCTTTAGAGGAAGCTGAAGTATTGCATGTTCCCATATTCCCACTTATCCTGCAGTATGTTTTGATTTATTCTTTGAGAAAATTGTGCTTCTGCAAGATTGGAATTCCCCTTGTGTGAACAGTGACTATGCCACACCATGCGATTAATACATTTAAAAACTAACATATTGTTCTCTCTTTCAGAGTACCAACTCAAAGGGTAAGGGTAAAACATCCAAAGTCAAAGCAGCGACTGCAGAGCAGTGGGAGGAATGGAAACAGAAAGACGCAAAGGTGAGTTTCTTTCTGTGTGACTCTCAAATATCAACAGAATAATGACGTTACTGTCTGTATAACTGACAAATGGTTGTATGTGCTTCAGTATGTAGATGAAAACTATGAAGGGGAACTGCAAGAGGCAATTCTTCAGTCCAAATTAGAATTTGAACAGAATAAAGACTTTTATGAACGAACCAAGAAGGAACTGGAAGCAGAGAAAAAGTTAGCATCTGTTGCCGGTAAAAAGAAAAAATCAAAAGCCATGTCTCTTGACGAATTTAATAATATGCAGGTATGTTACTTAAATTATCCATAGAAGTGTTCCTGGTTTCTAACATTCAAACCTTATGCCTTATTCCGTCAAGTATAACTAAGGTAGCATTATTGTGGCGCAGGAAAATTCTGAAAATGGAATTGAACAAGAACCTTGTGAAAATGGCGCTGCAGCTGTTGATGATCCAGAATTTTTCAATAAGATTAAAGAAGAGGCTAAAGAAGTAATTAAAAGGGAACAAATGAAAAGAAAAATCAAAGAAAGAGAGGTTGGTATCATGGCATATTTATGGAACCAACACCACAATATATACATAAGATTTATTTGCTTTTGTTTGTCATACAGCCTTTCCTAGATGAAGCAATTTCCATTGCTCAATATCAAGTTAAGTTAGAAGAAAGAGATGCTGAAATTGCATCCTTAAAGGAGGAATTGGCTCAAGTCAAGGAAGATCTTCTTAAAGTGAAATCCCGCAACAAGAAATTATGTTCAATCATAGGTCAATCTGAAGGTAGTTATTTCTGTTTAGGATGAACTGTCCAATTAACTTTTAACTTACTGTGAAATTAATTTGTCATGCATTTTTCAGTCAAAGACAAAGCTGAGATACTGGTCCAGCTGGATAAACTTCAGGTTGTTAAAGATGAACTCACTGCTGAAGTGGCAAATCTTCATGTCCAACTTGAGCAGGAGCGTTCTAAAGTTCATGCTTTAAGTGCAACTGATGGCAAGGGAAAGGGGGTAAGTCAATTGCCTAAGAGCAGATTGAGCATCATACCTCATGTGGTCATGTTATGTCTTGCTTCAATTTTTAACCACTCTCCTCCTTTTTGTCCTCCAGAACAAGAAAAGGACTGCCAGTGAGACTCACAATTAGTGAGATTTCACATCAAGACTGTGGACACAAGGTCCATGTAACAAGACTATTCTCTTGTACACATGAGAGTACCAAATTGTTTATCTTCTCATGATGTACTTACAGTATTAATTGTTTTCTATTCAATGTGAGTGGGTGGGTCCATTCCATTTCATTGCCAGCCCACAAGTCCTTGCAGTGTTATAGTCTCATTATTTTCTTGTAGCTAACTACCTCATTGACATAAAATTATGTGAGTGAGTAATGAATCCCATTTGTTGTTGCATGTTTGAGATTGTAATATAGGGTCAGTACCTGAAATATACCTTGGTGTATGGGCAAAGTTCTTTATAAACCTCTTTTCTTCTTTTTTTCACCTATTGTTCCTTCCAAAGTCACAAGAAGATCACTATGGTTTAAGTAATTATTTACTTGTACTTGAAAAAAAAATAAGCAAAAATGTCTCTTATAGTCTAAGGAATTAAATAATGAATGAAATGATTCTTAATCATCTGTATCTAGTCGCTGCCTTGTGTTGCCCCGGAAGTTTCCTTTTTTCTTGAAACCTGTAAATGTAGGTTGACTTGTTGATGCATCATCATCAACAATAGGTCGTGATATTTTCTTCTCGTGAAATTTGATTTTTGGACGGTCATCTACAAGAGCTGGCACTTTAATTTCTGCCTGTTGCTGGGAGGGCAATTCTAAGTCAACCGGTTCAACTTCAACCCTGGAAATTAGGGGCCAATATTAATAAGAAGTACCACAAACTTTTCCCAAAATTTCTTTTACATGCAGAAAGACTTACTTTTTTTCAATTGACTTCCACAACCCGTAAGGATTTGGCTTAGGAGCTGGGCCCATAGTTGGAATATTCTTGGGTAATTTTTCTGCTTTACTTGAAGAGGCAGCGGCTTTTGCTTCAGGAACCATTTTTTTGGTTGCACTAGGAGGAGCACCACTATCTTCAGGTTTCCTCTTCTTGCCACCGGAGAAGTGTTTACCCTTACCTTTTTTACCTGGCACATTTACTTCTGCTTTAGCTTTCTCAGCTTCTTCAAGAACTTTCTGATCAGCAATAGAGATGTACCCATCAGCAGGCGGTTCCCATTTTGTTTCTGTGAACAGAGGAATGAGAAATATACTGACTACAAAAGTGTATTGAGCAAGGAGTGTCAAGCAGAGTCAAGAATACTTACCGTTTGTGTCAACATGCCAATAGTAAGAGTAGCCTTCATCTGACCTAGCTTCGTGCCATTTTGTAGCCTTTGCCTTCTCCTTCACCCTTTTCCTTTTAAGCTCCAAATCAATTTTTTCTCGTGCCTTTGCCGCTTCTCTTGCTTGTTTAGCCTCAGCCTGCTTCTCAGCTGCCTCATCTGCAGCTCTCTGTTTTTGCTCAAGCCCTTCAAGCACAAGCTGAGATGTAAAATCTCCACTACCCTGGATATCTTTCATGTATGCTCTCAAAGCAGCCTATAAAGGAAAAATTCATAACAACATACTTGGGAAATTTGATTGAAACTCCAGATGTAAAAATACAATACAAATGCATACCTCTTCCATTTTCTGGATTTCCTTGTCCATCTGTAGTTGTTGCTTTGCATCTTTGGCACTTTTCTTACTGATTTCAGAAAGCCTTTTGGCAACATTTTCTTTATGTTTTTTCCCACTTTCATGGAATGCAATAGACTGAAACAAACATTAAAGAACCTTAACTATTTAGATAAACAAACAGATTACTGTGTTCTATTTTTCTTCCAGTATTCATTTTAAAAACTGGTGGTATACTCACAGGTTTATTGTCTGCTATCCAACATTTGCAGAAGTCACATTGTTTCCTAGGCTGAGACCTCCAAACATCTGCCCTGAAAATGAGCAAGGAAGAGAAACACTTAAATATTAATACTTTTAAAACCTTGCATTAAGAAGTTAAGTCTGTTGGGAAAGTGGAGACAGAAACACTGGCAGGAAGGTATAGTTGGTCTTTATTAAAATTTAACAAACTTCTTGCACCTACATTTGCTCATTGAGTGTCTGTCCACAAACAAATGGAAATGAACAAATTCCTGCTCCTGCATCCTTTAGGTAGACAATCAAATTGACATAACATGAGAAAGAAAACTAGCAATTTGTTTTCTACTTTGCATGAGAATATCAAAGGAAGACTAGGAATCTGGTTACACATTTTTGTACACGTGTAAAATTTAATAAAACTAGCCCCTTTTGTCCTTAGTAAAACTAAAGCACCTAAAAGTACAAGAGAACTCAACAACACCGAAACCAGCAATCATATAGGTAACAAACATTGCAACAATAAACATAAAGACAGACATTAAATCAACATTATTAATTTAGATGAGGTGCTGAGATTCCAATAAATATATACATGTATAAAGTACACATATAATTTAATTTTTTTAAATCACAGGAACTCAACTTAGACTAGGATTCGTTAAAACAGTTGCTTTAGTTCTGTATTTGGCACCAGAAAGTCTTACAGTTTACACACATAAAAATGTGAAGAGCAGTCTTCACCTTGTTTCCCAACAAATGGGATATATATCAACCCTGGTAAAATTTAATGACTAGATTACAAAAAAAATATCTTGAAGAGGTCTTGGAGCACTAACTAAAAGGCAATAAATAAAAGCTGCCATTTGGGAGCTTAGTACGGTACATCATATGAGATAATTAATTTAACAGACCCTGATCAGAGTAAATTGACCATCTTGAGGACTAGAGTAATTTGTATGGTTACAGATAACTACCAGTCAAAATATGTCTCTAACTTACACTTTCACTCTTATCCACCTGATGCGAGTTGTAAAAAGACATTTTCTTAAGTTGTAGCAAAAGAGGATAATGAATATTTTCATTGTAACTTTCACCATGGTTGGCTTTTAAGTGCAAATGTCTATCCCATATTTGATCATTATAAATTTCTTGAAGGTTGCAAATAAACCCAGCATTGCAAGCCTTGTCATAAAATTTATCTAGAGTGTCAGCTCTTCTTGGGGCAGTCAAAAGTGCTATTCCATCATCAGCTATAAAATCAAAAATAGTCTGCACTAAATCTTGTCGAGCATCATCGAAGAACAAACAGTCAGCACATATAATTACATCAAATTTCAAAGAAGCTGGCTTGCTTTGAAGCTCCTCTGTTAAAAATTCTACTTTGGAGTTGGCTCTTTTGCCCCACTTTAGCACTGATGATGAAACTCGAGAAGAGTTTCCAAATCCATTTTTTACTAGAATGTGATGAACATTATTGATAGAAAATACGTTTCCATCGGTCAACAGCACTTTAGAAGCTGATGTATACTTCCCAATCATAAGGCCTGCCAAACAGCTCATACCCCCGCCAAGCTCCAGAACAGATTTGTTAGAAAAAGTATTTGGATTACATAGACTATAATAAGCAAGTACTTCTTCAGATGGCCATACACATATGTTGCCAGTGTTATTGAACCCCATGAGATCAGTGGCGGTAAATGTACGCTTGGGGTGTCGAATGAGAACAGAAAACAAATCTTGGCCTATAGTGGCACGGTATTCATACCAAGTAGCACTATCTTCATGTAAATTCTCCAGAGGCAAAGCAGAAACAAGGCCATAGCTTTGAAATCTACGTACTGAGCTTGGCATGGTTGGTACAACTTCACATTTTTGCAATGCTTGCGCTAGGATCCTCCAACGGCTACGTGCTATGACATTATGGTATTCTTCAGGAGAGTTGTTTTCACAGTTGTCTGATAAAGCTGGGCTGGATGGCGCAGAGCCATCTGGGCTCTGCATCTTGCTAGCCCTCAGTCCATGAAGAAGCCAACACTTGAGTGAATGCCAGGCCTGAAAGTGAAGCAAGCAAGAGACTACATCAACATCTGCTTGCTGCAATAACTATAATGACCAATAAAAGAGTCAGGACCACAAACTTGCTTTCGATTTGACTGCATAATCATTGAACAAACAAGTATTTCATTCTCACAGTGCCGTCAACGAATCCTGAGATACAGTAGCCAGGTTCAGCTTATAGCGATTTAGATACACAGGCATGTTATGTTTCCCTGTTCATTTTTCTTTTTGATTTGGTAGATTTAAGCGTCATGTCCTGAGCGAGATGATTGTCATTGAAGTTAGTGATCCGGACTGGCCTGGATACAGGTTATACAGATATTCAGTCATCATTATGGTATTAGTTAACACGATTAGCACAAAAACAGTCGATTGGAGGGTTCCTTAACACAAGCATACAGTTGAAATGTTACCAAAACAGATTAATGGGTTAAGTTTGATGAGTGCAAACAGACGAATACAGTCCTCGTAAACGTAAACAACAGGATTTCAAGAGCAGGAAATATGTTCAAAATAATGAGCAAACTAAATCAAACATGAAAACAAACCACACAACGGAGAGAGCAATCGAAAAGGAATCGAACACCAACAATGAAATACTTACATCCTAAAAGTGTATGTCCCAAAATAACCCAAAAAAGTCTTGTTGCTGTCTGTCAGCTGTCTGCAGCTTCGACTTCGAATGCTTCACCAACTTAACAGACTAAACATCCCTACTACCATGCCACTACCTGAAATCTTAAAATGTAAAATTCTAGCGAGGTATAAAATTCAAAATATCATTAAGTATAGAGTATATTTAATAAAGATTAGTGCCCGATGAAAACGCAGTGCGCTTGAAGGCGAAAGAAATAAAAGATGGAACTACAGTTCGGAAATTACATTTTAAGTTTTGGTACAAGACGCATGCCGCCGCGGGAACACAAACAGACAGACACTTTTTTTGCCTCATTGACCAGCACAAAAGAAAAGGTAATTTTTGTTCAGCTTAGGAAGAAATAGACTTCCTAATCGAGTTAGTTTACTCGTGCTATGCTTACATTCATCGCCTGAACTTACCTTGCTGTGTGCGAGTGAATAAAGAGGCATCAGAGCTGAAATTGTTGTGCTAAATATCGGTCGGCACTTATAACAATGAGTTTCTGTGTGGTAAGCTTTTTCCTTTGTTTTCTTATCCTGTCTTCTGCGCCGTTTCAGGATTGAGATTAAACACAAAAATTTCAGTCTTCTCATTCCATGTTCTGCTTGTTCCTATTTACCAAACGTAGATTTTCGCATAACCTCTCCTGTGTCGCTAGCTCTGCACCGCACTAGTGTTTGATTGGCATGTGCCAATCAACATCTGATCTCTTCCTCTCTGAAAACTCGCTTTATTTCTGTGATTTTATTCATTTGTCGCGTCGAGTTTGCACTTTCATTTTCTCTCCTTGTGGACGGACGCGATGGAGACTCAATATGCGATCAACAAGTGTCCCCGGCGGGCGGTGCGGTCAGCGATTGGTTTATTGGTTGTTCACTGTAAATTGTGCACGCCAAATAATTTTTTTAAAAGACAAGAAAAAAAAAATTATTTCTGTATTTTTTTTAGTGCACTAGGTTTTTTTACACTTTTTTTTCTTCTTTCAAATTTTTTCAAAAGTCATTATGGGAGTGCTTCTGATGATTAGGGACATTTCAAATATGTTCCTTTGTAATAAATGATTTAAATGTTATAAATAAATGTATTCCCATGTTTCAGATCTACATCTTCGCTCAGCAGCCGCTGTAGAATGCATGTATTTGGAACACTACTGCAATCAATTTATCAATCATGCCGCGCTCATCTCCTCTGGCGTTAGAGCAACAGGCTGAGGCAAACCTCCGTAGACATGACAACTACGAAGAGTTGTCTATGATAGGAGTGGGTAAGACTCATTTCTTTGCATAATCGATGGCATTTTTGTGCAGCAAGGAATTCTGGAAAAGTTTTCATCTTATTTTGATAGTCACAATGTATGGAATTACAGTATATTTATATTTCTACAGGCTCTTATGGAACAGTTTTTAAAGCAAGAGATCGATCAAATCCAAATAATATTGTAGCCTTGAAAAAAGTGCGTGTTCCTCTGTCTGAAGATGGAGTTCCTTTTAACACTCTAAGAGAAATTTCTGTCTTGAAACAGCTTGATCAGTATGAACACCCTAACATTGTGCGGTGAGTGTCTACTTTACTGAAACTTCCCTGGTTTGATAAAGATCAAATAAGTGAATCATCTAACTCCTACTTCTTACTATAGGTTGTTGGACATTTGCCACGGACAAACTATGGAAAAGGAGCAACAGCTAGTTCTCTACCTTGTCTTTGAGCATGTCGACCAGGACTTAGCAACATACATAGAAAGATGTCCACCACCGGGGCTGGGGTCCAGCCGAATCAAGGTATCAATCCACCTTTTTCTTGGTCTTTTTTTTTTTTTTTTGTTCAAGAGCGTTCACACTATCACAATGTTTGCTAACTCTTTTACTTTCTTTGCCTTTAGGATATAATGTTTCAGATACTGAATGGTGTTGACTTTCTTCACAGTAACAGAATTGTACATCGAGATCTAAAGCCTCAAAATCTTTTAGTTACCAATGGTGGCAATGTGAAACTTGCTGACTTTGGTTTGGCAAAGACCTATGATTTTGAAATGAAATTAACATCTGTGGTATGTATTGGAAAATAATCAGCAAGTTTCTTTCAATTTGAAATATCAAAGCTTATATGAGAATTTTTTCAGGTTGTTACTCTGTGGTATAGATCTCCTGAGGTACTCTTTGGAAGCAGCTATGCCACCGCAGTTGATATTTGGTCTTGTGGCTGTATAATGGCAGAGCTTTTCAGGAGATCTCCTCTTTTCTGTGGGCAAAGTGAGGGCGATCAACTTGATAAAATCTTCCAGTAAGCACTTTTGTTGTCTGAGTCCTTAAAGACTAGACTAGACGAGTAGAAATAGTTGTTGATTGATTTCTTTTCCGTATGTTTGATTACTACAGGATTTTGGGCACACCATCTGAAGAAGATTGGCCTGATAATGTCACTCTATCCCGAAGTTCGTTTCTGAAACACTTCCAGACCCGTTTGCAAGACCATGTACCTGAAATTTGTAGCAATGGAGTTGATGTTCTTGAGGTAAGAATATAAATGTCCTTGTGAAATGTTTTAAGTTGCACATTTATTTTTGGCAGTGTTTCAATCTAATTTACCTTGCCCACAGAAAATGTTACGCTTCAAGCCCAGTGACCGGATTAGTGCTGCAGATGCATTGAATCATGACTATTTCTCCTCCTCTGGTTATACTCCAATAAGTTCAGCTATGCCATCTTTTGCCTCCCTTAGTCCAAACTCTTCTTTGACACCACCGAGTCGGGCATCTCAGGGTTCACCAGTAGTCTCTCCAAGGACTACTCCTGTCTCTTTAAGCTGCAGCTCCTCTGAGTCAGCTGATTCAGGGCATTCCACTGAGAAATGCAGTGTTTCTGCGGGTTGTGCGGAGGGCGGATGGCCCTCAGACACCACTTTACAACACAAAGTGAAGTGAGGTCAAGTTTGAGTTGCAAGCAGGAGCCTCTCCCCATAATATTACAGAAAATAAGAGTGTGATTTCATTGCTTTTAAATATGAACATTCCCCCTATTTTTTGAAAATATTTCTTGTTTTTGAACAAGTCAAGCTGTAAGATGCATTTATTTTTTTACTGTTTATATTTTATGATGAACTTACCATCTCGGTGTGATTCATTTAAGAATCATGTAACTGGGCTTCCATAGTGTTTTGGGTCTGTGATAGGAATTTCAAGTGTCTTGCAAAGTAGTTCTTAGAATTAATTTGCCTATTTTAATGAATTGCTCAATTGTACCTCTAGTAAAAAGTTTTGCTCACCTGGGAGAGATCTCATGCCATGGACCAATCTATTTGTAAGAGTCAATGTGGTTAAGCTTTTTTATTTTGTGGGCCTTAAATCATCAGTTGAATGACAATAATATTGTGAGTTTGAATTAGCTCTCAACTACTTAATTGTCTTCCTAATTTAAATATTATGGGTTGGTGTCATCCTTGCATTTGTCAGTATGATCTCCACTGTTGATCATGCTGTCATTTTTCAGGGTGTTGTGTATTTTATGCTGTTTTCTTAAAAAAAAAACCCTATCCTTGTCATTTTTTTACAGGAAAAGTGATTACACTGTACTTTTTTAAGGCATGAAAGTTATCTGTAATTACTGTTTTAAGAACATTTTACTTCGTGTTTGCTTGTGTGTACCCTCCTAAGCATTTTTTTTTTTTTTTGCATCATTACATTTGTAAGTTTGCGTTGTTTGTTTTATTTTTGTGGCACTGAAGCACTTGGCACCTTCCTTTTGTCTTATTTTTTTAAGCATATTGAAATTAGTTTGTTACTAGTCTTGTAAGTTTACAAAGAAAATTAAACATTTGTACACTTTTTTCTACTTGGCTGCTTAATGGCATTGTTACTGGTAGTACTCAATGTTCATGCGTGTCAAGGGAAACAACAATATTTGCATGCACATTCAAAATAATTTTGGTTCTGCTTGTTCTCTTTGTACCATTTATTTATTGCTCATATTAACGGCTAAGTGTTTTTTAAAATGAAATTTACAAATTTAAGTAATTGAGTACTTAAAGACATGTATTCCTCAGGGAAAGTTACACCAACATTGGGCATTCAGTTGTGCCCATGAGCTCAATACTTTGTAATTTATTAATATCTATTATAGAACGTGAACTGCTTTAGATATAATCCCATGTTGAATTCTTCGTTGATTTCAGACAATGTATTTTATGTAAATAATTGTCAAAATAAAAAAAACAACTTTTCTTAACTAGTTTTCCTATCCGCTAATGAACACTCCAGCAAAGTTGCGAACGTCTTTTTACATCCTCTCTATACACTATCTTCGTTGTCTTGAAATCACGGTTTTGTAGCGGCGCGCTTCGCTCTGATCAGTCTCATTGGTAACTTCAGTTGTGGGTTGCGTCACGTGGCACACGGGCTCGAAAGGCTTGGCACACCAAATTCCTCCAAAGTCGAGTCCATGAGGAGACGCTCAGTGTCTATATTCTTACCAGAAAAACTGAGACCTCCGAGTTCTCGCGGTCGGGAACCACTACCGCCGTGGCCCTCTACCGCGAGAACTCAGAGGTTTTGTTTTCTGGTTGGACTACAGCCCAGAGCACGGCGGCTAGGGGGAGGGTTCTCCCTGGCCGTCGCCGACGTCGGGCCGGGGCTGCTGTGGCTGAGGCTGCTCGCAGTGTCCGTGTTCGGGGAGGCCGGGGCCGGGGCTGAGGAGGCGCGCCACCCGCTCCTCCAAGTTCATGGTGCGCTGCTCCAGGGAGAGGTGCAGCTCAGGCAGCTGAGGCGCGGGTCGCCGCCTCTGCAGGCTGGCCGCGCTCTTGGCCTGCTGCTGCTGCTTCTTCTTCTTCCGCAAAGATGACGTCATCCTGTCTCCGTCCGCGACTTTACAGGCCTTCTTGAGCTCGCCGTCGGAGACAACCGAATTGTCCGTGTCGACGTCCACCTTGCCGTCGGCCGCGCCGCGCTCCAACGCGGCCAGGGTGGCGAGGGGGGCCGCGGCCACGGCGACGGCGTGGTCGGCGGGGGCGGCGGCCTGGACCAGGTCGCCGTCGGCCGCCCGCATGCCGCGCCAGGCGAGGCGCGCCCCGAGCAGCGCCCACAGCAGCTCGAGGAAGCACGCCACCAGCACGTTGGCGGCCAGCAGCGAGCGGATCTGCGCCGAGGCGCGCGGCGGCAGCGGCACCGGCACCCAGCGCAGCACGGACCACTCGGGCTGGCCGGCGAAGCTCGCGAAGCCTGCAACAGCGGACAGCAAGCTGTGTGACACAACAGCAACCCACGGCTCAATCACCGCACTGGAAGAAGGTGCTTACTGGAGTGCGAGTCCGCGTGGTCGCGGCCGGGCACCTCCTTGTCCTCGTGGCGCGTCGAGTCCGCGGCCACCAGGTCGTGGTCCTGGTCGCGCACCAGGTCCGAGAAGACGCCGCCGCTGCTGATGGTGCTGCTGTTGGCGTCCGGCAGGGGCAGGTCAGAGATGTCGAGCCACGAGGACCCGCCGCCGCTGCCTTCGTCGGCGACCGCTGTGGAAACGGAGAGGATTACGGCGCGGTCAGGCATTGCGCACCCGAAATTCTAGACGCGTTTTGACCTCCAGAGTCGCTAAACAGGCCTCGAACCGGACGTGTGACCCTGGATTCCTCGTTCGGAGAGCAATCCATTGGTGGGGTCACATGTTCGGTTCGAGTCCCATTTAGCGACTCTGAGCTAAACACCCGTCCGGGATCTTGACCGCGGGTGGGGATTGAACCCGCGACCTACCCGCGTCGGAGGAGACGTCGTGGTCCGGCTCGTAGGCGGCCAGGTGCGGGGGCAGGTGGGGCAGGTCCGCCGGGTGGATGGCGCTGACGGGGCGCACGGAGAGCGCGTTCTCGTGGAGGTGCACCAGGGCGGCCGACGTGAGCACCAGCCCGGCGGCCGCCACCACGGCGGCGAGCAGCGAGGCGCGGAAGAACCAGGCGATGTAGTGGTCCTCGTACCAGCGTCGCCACGCCAGCGCCCCGGACACGGCGGCCAGCAGCGCCGCGGCGCCCAGCCACAGCCCCGCGCCGAGGTGGCCCACCCACGACCCTGCGGCAGAGGAGAGGACTCTGCAGAAAACGAAAATGGCGACGAGGCGGGGGTTCGAACCCTCAAGGCTTACCTTGCGGCGGGTCCCACGACAGCGCCAGTCCGCCCAGCAGCAGCGCCACGCAGCCCAGCAGGGCGTGCCCCGCGGCCAGCCCCGCCACTGTAAGCGCGGAGTAGCGGCGCTCGGACGGGAACAGCAGCCCCGGGTCCGGCAGCGCGCGCACCTTGACGACGTACACGTGCTGGGACGCCTGCATGGCCTGCAAAGCATGCGAAGCAACAGGCGGTCAACACGTCGCTCTGTCTCTCTCGCACTCACGGGGCGTCCCGTGTAGGTGCGAGAGAGACAGAGCATGGCGGAAGGCGGAAGCGGGCCGCCGCCGATTCCCATGCCGCGCTGACAGGCCGGCAGGCCACGGCAGGCGGGCACCACCCGGGCACCACCCGGACACCACGCGCACATTGTTCTGCAGGGCTAGACTCCAGACGGCCAGGCATAACGCGGATGAAGCGCGCCCTAATCTAAATACGGCGCTCTTCCTCGTCGTCGCGGGCCGGGCCGGGGCGGGGCGAGCAGGGCCGGCTTCTGTCTCTGTCGCACTTATGGGGCTCGCCATGAGGGTGCGAGAGAGACAGAGCGACAAAGTTTTCCTCTTCTGGTGGAGAAGAAAAAGAAGGCTCTCCCCGTCGTCGGGCGGCGTCTTGTCCGCCATAGCTGCAGCAGGCCAAGCAGGCTCACAGCGACCGCCGCGCGCGTTCAAGTCACCGCAGACAACGTCGAGTCGATTTATATCTCAGCCAGCCGTGACGTGACACGACGTGACAGGTGACGGAGCGAGAGCGCAGAGCGCCGTACCAGCCGGGGTAGGCAACGCGCCGGCGCGCTGTGCCGCCGGGTTGCCGACCTCGGCGAGTCAGGAGCTCCGCGCGGAGTCCGCTGAGGATTCCGAGCAGTGCTTTCCCTCTAGCACGCGGGTGCGAGAGAGAGGGAGGCTATCGTTGCGGTTGCTGGTCGTCCCCGCCGCGGCATGGCGGCATTGAGTCCATTGAGTCCGGGCGATCGGCAGTTACTCACCTCCATGGTCGGCGATGTCATGTCCACGCTGTCCACGCTGTCCGCGCGGCGCTACGTGCCGAGCGTCGGTGCCGACGGCGACGTCCTCCGTGCCGGCCGCTTCGACCGCATCCCCCACCGGCTTGGCTGTGGGGCCCTCAGGGTTGCCTCAGGGCTGCCTCACGGTCACCGCAGGGCTTCCGAACAACTCCCCTGCAACAGATCAAGCCCAACCCTTCATCAGACCGGCGGAGGCGGCCAAAACTCTTGACGCGTTTTGAGCTGCGGAGTCGCTAAACAGGACTCGAACCGAGCGTGTGACCCCATCAATGGATGCCTCGTTCGGAGAGCAATCCATTGGTGGGGTCACACGTTCGGTTCGCGTCGCCACCACCGACGTAACCTCACTTCAGGCATTTCTTTGTCCTTTCCCCGCGTTATTGCAAAGCACGTCGGGAGTCGGAGAGATGGCCAATCAGGGGGCAGGGCGGGAGTGTCAGGCCGCGTCAGCCAGCCCCGCCAGCAGTCAGGACGGTCAGAGGAGCCAGGACCGTCAGGGGGCGCGGCACGACAACCTCTGAACCGCCACTCTGGCTCGGGGCACACGTTTCGACACGGACCCCGGCCACTCAACATTCACGGTCCAAAACGCGGGAGAACACGCACACACACGCACGCACACACACACACACACGCGTGCGCTTTGAAAAGCGAACCTGCTTCATTTTTCCCACATTATTGCGTCACAGGAGCGAGGGTTGCGATTGCTCGGCGCAAAAGCCCGGCCGCGCGCGCTCGGCCGACCTAGAGACCCACAGAGCACAAAGCCCAGAGCCTGGCTCAAATTTCAAAGCCGAGCTTGTGTTCCGCTGGGCACTCCTCTCCTCGTCCCTCCCATCCACTCGCGTCATGTAGAGTCATGCAACCGGCTGCATCCACTCGCCTCCTCCGTCCAATGGCGTCCCGTGACGCCACTGCAATATCGCTTCGAATGCACTCCGGTGCACCATGGCGCCGGGGGCCGCGGGCCGCACCGCGCGCCAGTTTGCGGCTCCACCAGTCCACCAGTCCCACGGCATGCTGTGGTTGGGGGGGGGGGGGGGGGGCAGATCGGGGCGCACCGGGCAGCCGGCCGGCGCGGCGAGGCGTAGCGGTCGAGCCGTTTATCCACGCTCCACCTTGAACCAGGCTGCGGACTGCGTCGCGATGCTCGCGGGGCTGAGGCGGTGGGTGCCGGTCCGGCCCTCCTGCTGTCGTCGCGGCGCGGCGCGCGTTGTAAACGCGGGCCGAAACGCCAACGCCGCAGAAGCGGCAGCATGGTGGCAGCATGGTGGCAGCATGGTGGCAGCAGTGCAGAAAGAAGGGCCAGTTATGCCGGCTGCCTCCGAGGCGACGCGAGGCTGGAGATGTTGGGAGATGTGGAGGCGCTGGACGCGAAGCCCCGCAGCCCCGCACGCAGCCCGGCCGGCAAAGGCGGCAAGGCGGCAAGGCGCAGGGCAACTCCCTCGCCGCCTGCTTCGCCTGCTTCCCTCCGCCTGACATGCACTTTCCACTCCGTTGAATCACGCGGTAACGGTAAAGGCCCAACCGTGACGGCAGTGACCTGCCGGCCGCGCGCAGGCCGCGCCACGCGCTGATCGCGCTGCCCGTGACTGACGGCTCGTACGCCGCGCCCGTCTCTCTCGCTCCCTGACGGGGCGCCCCGTGAGTGCGAGAGAGACAGAGCGATGCCCGGAATCAGCCTGCCGGTGCGGGCTGCCAGGGGCCGCCGTCCTGCGGCAGCCCAAGTCCGCCCTTTTCCTGGACATGGACAACATGTCCGGGCCGGCGGTGCGGGGGCGCGGGGCCTGGGCGAGGCGCCGGCCCGGATTACGTAAGCCGCAAGGGCCGCAAGGGGGCCTCGGCCCTCGGCGTGTTGTGATGTCGCCCGCCGGGGCCGGCAGGGCCAGCGGCCGTCCGGGGACCCGGGGAAAAGGGGGAGGGGAGACTCGACCCGTTTATTCGGGTCGTCCGTCGATACACGCGACGACCCGACCCGACCCGCCGACACACGAGGTCGAGCTGTCGCCCTCATTACTGGCCAGGGAAGACAGCATGAAGACGGCAAGACGGCGCACAGTGGGCCAGAAGACCGGTTGAGGCGCCCAAAACTCTAGACGCGTTTTGAGCTCCACATGCCTCGAACTGAACGTGTGACCCCACCAATGGATTGCTGCGACTCTGGAGCTCAAAACGCGTCTAGAGTTTTGTCCGCCTCCACCGGTCTTCTGGCCCACTGTGAGGCGCGCAAGGCCCACTGCTCACCTGTCACGCGGCGCCGGGCATGGCGGCCAGCCGGCACTAACGGCGAGCCACAGCGGCACGAAGGGCGTTGTCACTGCCTTGCCACTGCATCCACTGTTAAATCCGTCACATGTCACTCCAGTCACTCCGAGCACCGCTGTTGTTGTTGGCGCGGCACTGCGACACGGCTCGCGAGCACTAACGCGCGCTCCTCGGCGCGGCGACCGCGAGTCACTGACCAGCACACGACCGCGACGTCGCCCGTCCGCGAGCAGCGACAGGTGGTTCAGCGCCACGACCACGACCGCGCGCGCCCAGAGCCAACGTGCGACTGGAGCGGCGGCGGCAGCGCGGCGCGCGGTCCGCCGCGCCCGCCAGCCTGTCGACGAGTTGCCGCCCGCCCCGCCACCGGCCGCGCCCCCCGCGGACTAGGCGCCCCGCCCCGCCCCGCCCCGCGACTAACGAACACGAGTCATTTCGGTCAGGGGTTAAGAAGGAGGCGGCTCGCGCTTCTTTTTCACCCCGCGTGAATTAAGGCACCGCTCGTGCTGCGGTAATGATGGCTAGATACACAAAGAGGCAGTTCTAGAAAGGGGAAAGAAGCTGCCGGCATCCCCCGCCCCGCCCCGCCCCGCACCACCCCCGAGCACTACGGAACAGGAAGCGATCGCGCACACACGACTCGCTGACCTCTACCCGTGTCTCGCTGCTTGTGCTTGCACTCACTCCGATAGATTGCGGGCGGAGCACAGCGGAGCACAGCGGAGCGACGCGAGCGGCCGTCGTCGCTCCATCTCGCTCGCACCCACACGGAGCGGCCCCTGGGTGCGAGAGAGACAGGGCACTCGGAATGAGTCTGCAGCCGGTAAAGTGCCGTGCACTCGGTGCGCTAGCGCGGAGCTCCGTGCCGTGATCAACAAGTGGCGGTGGAATGCGAGCGGCAGACTAGCCTAGACCGCCTAGAACGGCCGCGCGTGCCTGGCGTGTAGTGGATGGATAGTGGTGGAGCAGCACCCGGGGCTCTGCCTGACCCTGCAGACTGGTTCCGAGAGTCGCTTTCGTCGCTCCGTCTCTCTCGCACCTACACGGGACGCCCCATGAGTGCGAGAGAGGTACAGAGCGACGAAAACGACTCTCGGAGTAAGTCTGCTGCCGCCATAAGTCCGTTCCGAGGCTAGGCTGGCCTGCAGCGGCTTCGAGCGGAGCGGCAGCGCGGCCAGAGCGGGGCCGCGTCGGCGACGGCGGGCCGAGCCGGGCCCGGGTCGCGTCTCTCTCCTTGATCTTGGTCTTGCCCAGAGCACCCCGCCCGCGCGCGCCGCTGGATCACCTCGACATGGTTGCCCCCGTGCGCCACCGATCTTACCTTTCCCCTGGACATGGACATCTGTGCCGACTGACTTGCCCCTTCTCCTCCAACGCCGCCCTATGGGAAACCAGGAGCGCGCCAGCAAACTCGCGGTCGCCGCGGCAGCCGCGGCCTGCAGGCTCAATGCTTCGTCGCCTGTCTCTCTCGCACCCGCACGGAGCGGCCCGAGAGTGCGAGAGAGACAGAGTCAGCCTACTGTGGCGCCACACCAGCAAAATGCAGCAAAGCGCGCGCGAGTCGGTCGAAGCGCCGTTTAGTGTCTTTTTTTTTGCGGCGCAAATTTTGCCGCGCGCGTTTGGCGTTTTGCGATCGGAACGAACGGCAGCCTTCTGCTCATTACGCAGAGCAATGCCGGGGCTCAATATCGCCCGATCCGCGCACAATGCCTCACTCGCCTCGCTCCAATTCTACGCTAAATAGTCAACGTGTGAGTGTGTGCGTGTGTGTTGGCGTGTCTGTGAGTTAGTGTGAGTGCGCTGTTGTGCGGAGCGCGAGAGCGAAGACCTTGACAGGGCAACCCGACCTGTAGCGCGAACAACAGTAGGTGCCTGCAGGGCTGTTCCCCCTCACCCCTTTCCCCCCTCCCCCTCCCCTCCGCCCACGCCGCGCTCAGCCGCGCGCACCGCGCCACTCCGCGCAGCCCTAGTCCCAGAGACTGCGGCGACTCCAGCAATGTTCCGCAGTTCTGCAGGGCTCCAGGCCAAAGCAGCGAGTTTCAGCGCGCGCGCGTGTGCATGTCCATGTGTGTGTGTGTGAGTGAGTGAGTGGGACTGCACTGCAGATTGCAGGCGCCTTGCAACGGGGTCGGCGTCATGCAAATTTCTTACCTACCCCATTATGCCTGGCTTAATTAATTCTGTCCGATAAATCGATAAGTCGATACGGCAGCCGCTTTCAAAGTTCGACCTCCACGCGTCCATGCCAAACGACACGCCGCCCACGCCGGGCCGCCCGGCCACGCCCAATCCGAGCGTGGCGCGGCGTGGCGCGGGGTGATAGTGGCCAACCTTTACTGTCCATTACGCCGCCAATCTAGGCCAGGGCAGCGCCTAGACTAAAACACGCCCGGCCCTAAATGATACAACAATGAACGCTGTTTATAGTCGCCCGGGCGGGCGTAGAGACCCGGCGGCGGTCCGAGGCGTTTTCGCGTTGCCCTGGCGTTGCCGGGATGCCATTTCGCTCTCGTTTGGCCGCGGGGCCCCAAGGGCCGCACGCACGCCGCCCGCCAGCCTCGCCGTCTCTCTCGCACTCGTGGGCCGTGCCGGCCGTGCCGCTGGGGAGCGAGAGAGACGGGGTTCAGCAGCCCGCTGGCCGGCAACGCGGCAACGCTCAAAGCGCACCGCCGCCGCCGCACCCTCGGTCGCCATCTGCTGCCGTCGTTGGCTACGGCCTTCGCGAGGGCGCTCCATGACCTCCTCGTGTTCCTGGGCTGCGTCTTCAGGGCGGTTTTGGTGACGGATGCAAACAGGGTCTCGGAAAGACGCCAGAAGAAGGGGTGCGACGCGGGCCCGCCACCTCACGCCGGCTCCTCTTTGTCCAGTACTCTAGACCAGCGGTTCTCAACCTTTCTCGGCTCGCGACCCCAAATTTGTAGCCAAAAATTTCCGCGACCCCCAGGAAAAGTTTCGCGACCCCACGGGACCCCTCCTTTAGCATGCCACTGCGTCTGATCCGAGGCGGGCATTTTGCTCCCTCAACGGGCAATTGGTCTTTGGACCTTCCTTTAGCATGCCTCTGTTACGGAGTGCGATTATCAGTCTTAGTTTGGGAGCAGTATTGTCTCAAAGTTGGCCAAAACGCTCAGAAATGTCTTTAAAAAATCATGTTTTGGGTCGATTTTAAGCAGCCACTGCGTCTGATCCGAGGCGGGCATTTTGCTCCCTCAACAGGCAATTGGTCTTTGGACCTTCCTTTAGCATGCCTCTGTTACGGAGTGCGATTATCAGTCTTAGTTTGGGAGCAGTATTGTCTCAAAGTTGGCCAAAACGCTCAGAAATGTCTTTAAAAAATCATGTTTTGGGTCGATTTTAAGCAGCCACTGCGTCTGATCCGAGGCGGGCATTTTGCTCCCTCAACGGGCAATTGTTCTTTGGACCTTCCTTTAGCATGCCTCTGTTACGGAATGCGATTATCAGTCTTAGTTTGGGAGCAGTATTGTCTCAAAGTTGACAAAAACAGGCACAACGATTTTTCAAAGACATTTCTGAGCGTTTCGGCCAACTTTGAGACAATACTGCTCCCAAACTAAGACTGATAATCACACTCCGTAACAAAGGCATGCTAAAAGAAGGTCCAAAGACCAATTGCCCGTTGAAGGAGGACGAAATACCGCCTCGGGTCAGACGCAGTGGCTGCTTAAAATAGGCCCAAAACACGATTTTTCAAAGACATTTCTGACCGTTTCGGCCAACTTTGAGACAATACTGCTCCCAAACTAAGACTGATAATCACACTCCGTAACAAAGGCATGCTAAAGGAAGGTTCAAAGACCAATTGCCGGTTGAGGGAGCAAAATGCCCGCCTCGGATCAGACGCAGTGGCTGCTTAAAATCGGCCCAAAACACCACCCCAGCTACCTCGCCGCGACCCCTTAAAATTTTTTCGCGACCCCACTTGGGGTCGCGACCCTAAGGTTGAGAACCACTGCTCTAGACACACTACTGGCAGTAAGCGCCGCCAGTCTGAGGCCAGTCGAGGCAACAAAATACATACCTCTCCGTCTCCGCTCGTGACCCCACCGTCACGCAACCTCTGCCGGCGGTTGTCCGGCACCTCGCGCCCCTTCCCTGCGGCGCGGCCTTGGAAGTGATGTAGTGATGCTGGATTTACGGGAATCATGCGTGCCTTGCGCCGTGCGCCTCCACAAGGCGTTGTGGCCGTTGCCGATGAACCACGTGCCGTTGCCGCCGGACCTACACTCTAGTCGTGACGAGCCAGGACCGCCCGCCTGCAGCCGGCGCGGCGGGGCGATACCAGCCCGAGATAAGCCCGCCCAGAGCTTCACGGATTTACCCCCGAAAGGCCGGCCGGCCGGCGTCGGCCGCTTCCTAGCCCTCCCGATCACTTGGCCGATATGGCGTCATCGCGCACCGGGGGGCGTTGCACGGGCCGGCAGACCTGCGCAGCAGGCCGATTTCGTCGCTCTGTCTCTCTCGCACTCATGGTTCGTCCCGTACAGGTGCGAGAGAGACAGAGCGACGAAAACGACTCTCGGAATCAGTCTTGCTCGCGCGGTGCGGCACGGCTCCATCCAGAGCGTGATGCAGGGCGACCGCAACAGTTTCACACCATTCCGCTATTATTGGTCACGTGCGCGGTGCCTGGCGGTGTGGTGCCTGGCGGTGTGGTGCCTGGCGGTGCGGTGCCGGGGGGCGTTGGGCGACCGCAGCGCTGTAGGCGGAGTGGCGGCCACGCGGCCGGCCGGGATAAAGGACTGCAGGACGTCGACGAAGGGACCCCACACAGCTGTCGCCCCGCACGCCACCGCACGCGTGCCGCGCCCCGGGCCGCGCCCCGAGACCATGGGGTCGCGTTTCCTGAAAACCGAACCCCTTGAGGCTGACGAGGCTGGCGGGGACGGGGCTCCAGACAGGCCGCCGAAGGAGGCGAAGGGCGGCGTGCCGGCCAGGGACGCGGTCCGCGGCCACGCGGCCTCGACGGCGCCCTCCTTGACCTGCTACTCTGCTGCCGGGCTGTGTGGCGACTGAGTCGATTTCGTCGCTCTGTCTCTCCCGCACTCATGGCGATGGCGCGTCCCGTGTGGGTGCGAGAGAGACAGAGCGCCGCCTCGCTGCGTGGGTGTGGGACTGCCGAACTGCCGGCGTGTGCGCGCCGACCTCCGCGGTAATGAACGGGCGGCGTCCAAACCGAAACCTAGT